ATCTTCTCCTGACTTTTTACCCCCGATTTAAAACTAAATTTAAAAAAATCTAATATTCTTCAGATGTTTCAGCAAATAAATCAAGCTCATTTCCTTAACTACCAAAGATTCCAGATTTGCACCTTTCAATTATTACTGGGTATTACAGTCATTCAGGTAAAACGGCACAGGACATGTGGAATACAGAATATTACAGGCTTCCGTGTACAGGCTTCTCCTCCTGATGGGAAACAACCTACCATTTTTTGGATTTCAGTCTCGGTGGGGGGTTTCTGGGAATTAGGAAAAGTGCTCTCATCGGATGCATGTCACAAAGTGCTGAAAGATAAAATATATATATATATTGGAGACTTAAAAGGAATCAGTGCTTCAATATTATAATTTATAACTTGAACAGAGACCTTGCCCATAGGATATTAAGAAACCTCAAATTCAAAAAGGCCTACAACTGCATTGCATTTAAATACCAAGTTTCCTAAAACAATTCTCAGATTTCTGCAAGGTTACAAGCAGTCTTTCACAAAGGCTTTGCCGAAAATGAGGTTGAACTAATAAAAAAAAAAGACATGAGTAGATCACAGAAGAGATGAAGAGCCCCACCAGTTTATCCACTGAAGTTTAAGAAAACATGGGTGTCAAAAAAAGCACAAATCCATTACGCGGAAGAGCTCGCTTTTACAAGACTGTCTGTGGTAGCAGTACAATTTGCAAGTAGAGCTTCATAGTCTCGGCTCAGCCTGGGGAACAGGGGCGCCAGGGGAGACGCAGATCGGGGGGGTTGGGGGAGCGCGTGGTGTCCCACGGCGCCCAAGCAGATGTACTTACGGGGAGCCCCCTCTGCCATCTCAATGGCTGTAATCCCACAGGACCACAGGTCACTCTGCAAAAGAATAACACCGGTGAAGAACCTCAGCAGCACAAGCTGGAATCAAGAAGCCCTTCTTGAGTTCCTTCAAAAGAAGCTCCAACTAGAGTTTTTACACAGAATGTTCTGAGCCGCCTCCGGAGCCCCCTGGCATCTACTGCAATGGTGGCTCTGTGGCTCAGGATCTGCGCCTGTGGCTGGAAGGTTGCTGGTTCAAATTCAGCAGCCGGCAGAGGAATCCTACTCCTTTGGGCCCCTGAGCAAGGCCCTTCACCCCAGCTGCTCCAGGGGCGCCGTCTGTGTGCCTGTGTGTCTCATGGAGAGCAAGCTGGGGTATGCGAAAAGACAAATTCCTAATGCAAGAAACTGCATCAGGCTAATAAAGTGATCTTATCAGATCACGGAAGAGTGTAAAATGATACTGCTGAGTGCCTGGGAAATTCTGGCTTACTCTGTAGTCGTAGGTGGCATCCGGGTTTTCATCGCAAGCAATGACTTCTGGGGCCATCCAGTACGGAGTCCCGATGAAGGTATTCCTCCTCCCTACCGTCCTGTCGAGCTGAGCGCTGACACCAAAATCCACTGCAGCCGAGATCGGGAGGAAGAGAGGTGGAAGTTAACCCGACGTCGTCAACTTTCGTGACGATACGGACGTCCAGTTGTCCCTTTCTTAGCCAAAGAAAACAGCCAGAATTGTTCGTGGACCAGAGTTTTGTACAATTTTTTTTAGGAAAAAGTGGTTCTGTGGTATGCAAGTAAAGAGAAAGAGCTACAGCATTACCGTAGTGATTAAGCTTTTTAGCATTATTATAATATTTTTAAGCAGAAAGCAGAGGGAATGAAAATCTATTAACCAACATTGTGGATAATATTCATAAGTTCATGAAAGGCATTATAAAAAATGAACATTTTTACTGTTTTCCAGGCAGAGATTCCTGTTGCACAGACCAGCTCCCCATTACGTACCCAGCTTCACTTCAGCGTTTTCTGTCAGCAGAACATTTTGCCCTTTGATGTCACGGTGAATCACATGGTGGGCATGAAGATGTGCCAGCCCCTGAGAATCAAAGCGAACACAGACATCTGGTTTGCATCTCTCGCTGGAACCCTCACAAAAAAAGACCGGAGACACTGCAAAGCCAGCAGCAGAGCCTGCTCGTGCAGAGCACCCAGAGCGCAGCGTGTTTTCAGGAACTGTATAACACAAAGCTCTTCCTCCTGAAACCCGCTCTTCAGCAACTACAGCTTCCCTGTACACCTGAGTTTCTCAGAAGTCAACCAGTTCTGACTGTCCGGTCGAGTTTTTTCTTCAAACACAGACCTAGCCTGCTCTAAGCGCGCTCCAACCTTCCTTAAACCAGTGATATGAAAGTGAAACACACTCCTCTCCGTCAAGTCATCGATAACGGAGCTCAGCTCAGCAGCACGGACTCGTGACTCACTCGCAGGATCTCTCGAGAGATGTAGGCGATCCAGTCCTCCTTCAGACTGTTGCCCTTGGTGTTCTTCACCAGATCCGTGATGGATCCCGCCCCACAGAACTCCATGACGAGCTGCACATTGGAAAAATTCAGATTTACAGCAGAGAAACCGCCGGGGAACATTCAATGATAAAAGAGCAGCTTATCGCAAAACACAGAGCAATACAATGTTCTTGTTCTCATTACCAAACATTCACAATTGATGAAGGTCTTCAATGTAGCTTGAAATGCTTAATTACCTTTTTAAGGTCTATTAGCATAAGTGTGCCCTACAGCTAAACCAGGCCTGCTGAGTTCTTATCATTTGTTTTCGTTACATAAGCATGAAACTACCTCCTTCGGTTCTTTGAAAGGCTTTGCACTTCATAGAAGGAGCAAAACAGACAAAAGAATCTGAAAAATGCTCATCCAGCCGCTTGGATTTGGGCCGAGCTGATTTCTGGGCACAGATGAGACGCTGAATGGCGAAGGAAAGGTCAAGTTTAAGAAGCGCAAATCCGAGTCGCACTGAAATCTAAGGTCAAGGTCACTTTTTCGTCGCCCATCGTCAGTACGATGCCATTCCTGGTGAGGGTTGGGGGAGGCTGAAGCTCTCCCCAGAAGCACAGGGCACTGGTTAGGAAAGAGCCTCCTGCCCTAGATGGGATACTAGCCCACTGTAGCCTTTTAGACATCCAACACATCGCTGCACAGAATTACACAAAACCCCAGAAATCTACACAAGCGTCCGGGGCCACAGGGTTGAACTACACAACCATGTGGCACATGCATTCAGTAGTACTTCCAAATATCTACATGTGATGAGACAAAAATGCTGAGTGTTTCTTCAGAACAGATATATAAAGAGCAACCTGTGTGACTAACCTAATATTATACACTTAACTATGCATCCACATTTAAGATGAAACGGACCACCGACTAAAAGATTGCTTCATATTGCAGCACTTTCGTTTTATTTTTTTGCTTCATCACTTTTGCTTTATTGCATTTTCCATTCTGAAAACAGAGCTTTTAATTTATACGGTACTTGACTGCAATGTGGCGTAAACAATGACAATCCTGGTTTGCAAAATGAAACACCAAATAAATTTCTTATTACATCGTTTGCAACACGAGCTCTTGGTAAAGTGCGCAGTCATGTCGGAGTTCTGGAGTTCCAGACTCCTTCATGTCAAAATACTCCTGGGCACATTGACCGGGCCCAGGTGACACACTCACCCAGAGCTGGTCGTCGTGCCCAGGAGGGCTCTTCTTAATGAAGGCCCCATAGTATGTGGCGATGTTTCGGTGATGAGAGTATTTTTTCAGCATATTAATCTCCAGTTTAATTTCCTCTTCTTCATCCTAAAGAAGCCACAGGGAGGAAAAAAAACATCAGAATGGTTTTCAGAACCTTTTCAGTGTGCAAGAAGGATATGAACGCAATATTCAGTTTAAGAAACGTGGAAAGATTGCGGACAACGCCCTTGTAGGAGTTGACCATTCACACCACATGCTACCTGCAAAAAAAGTATAAATGTCAAGACAGTTATTCATACACATGAAATCTCTTACTTTGTTCTGCCAGTATTTGTAATGTATCTTTAAAGTGAGCACCACGTCAAAGAATTAAGGTTTAACAGTAGATGCCTTCATCTACACCGAAACAAAATTCGGAGGCATCTATGCCTTTTACTTAAATACAGAAATGGACCAACTGCTACTTCAATTAATCTAGACCAGATACTCAAGATGAAGCAATTTGAATTGACAAACAACTTCAACAATAAGGCAGTCCTGAAAGAAACAGATTTTCCACTGTCCTCATCAGTGTTAGTGACGTACAGCAAACCTGAAAGGACACCTTAAGAAACCACAGCCAAAACGTCTTTTTCAACAAGGACAACTATTACTTGTTTCCTTGCACCCAGCGCACAGCTGTAACTCCTCCATTTAAACTTCAGCTTTCATTTCTCTCACGGCCACACATGACCCTCACAGCAGGGAATGATGGGATACCTCCAACACCCTGACGACCTGCGGAGGGACCCCAGTATGTTCCAGTCCACTATTTTCAATGCTTGGCAAGAGACTTGAATTAAAAAAAAGAACATTGAAGAAGCTTCAATGAATCCTGTTTCCCCTGTTCAACGTTTTGAACTTAAAAAAAAAAACTTGGACAGCCAGACACAAAAAAAAACAGCAGACTGGTTTTATCTTGTGTGTTTTGTAGACAGGCAGAAATCGAAGCCATTAATAAGTAAAGGGATGCTGTTCACCATGAATGTGTGATTTTCCACAGACATGTTTGGTGCAGCTGTTGGGATTGTTATTCACTGCCTCAAGGCCCCAGGCAACAGTTATAGAGTTACACTCTCTCTCGAATGAGTTTGTATGGCAGCAACCTAAACCAACGTTTATCACAGTATAACCACATAATACTCTTAATATTGTTCAAGGAATACACCTAATGATTGAACAGGGATGAAATTCTGGTGTATAAACAATGAGGCTACTTCATTTGGATGCTTCCAATTAACAAAATAAAATGACATGATCAGAAACAAAATTAAGTGGAAAGAATACATTCTGGTGTGAGGGATTAAGACTTCCTAAACTAATGTACACCACAAAATTGAGTCCTAAGACTCTCCTAGATAAATATCAGTGTGATGATGAATCGCAGAAGAAAGCGGATACCTAAAACAAATTAAAACTAACAAATTAAGTAATTCACAACAAAAATCATTTAAGAGCCAGCGAACATCCTTGAGAGTCTTGTGAAAGGAGCTGCAAAAAAATTGAACCAGAAAACAAACCACACATTAACTTGGGCGGAGTGGTTGCTCTGTGGCTCAGGATCTACGCCCGTGGCTAGAAAGTTGCCGGTTCAAATTCCGTGGAATCCTACTCTGTTGAGCCCCTGAGCAAGGACCTTAACCCCAGCTGCTCCAGGGGCACCGTCTGTGTGCCCGTGTGTCTCATGGAGAGCAAGCTGGGGTATGCGAAAAGACAAATTCCTAATGCAAGAAACTGCATCAGGCTAATAAAGTGATCGTAACTTCAAGTAGTAAAGAAGAAAAGCTGGTTTTGGTTATGGAGCCAAAATGTTTCATTTTTTCTTCACACCCGAAGAGAAACAGCTGGAGTTTCTTCTTTATACTTTTAAACCTGGAAAAACTGTTTCCTGAAAAGGTACAATATTTAACTACAATGTGCCCCAGAACCCTAAAGGAGAATCAGCTGAGTTCCAGGCTTTTGTCAGCAAGCTGATGGATTCATATTGTACAACAGTGTTAGAACACAATGTCATGATAAGAATCTGCTGTAAAATAACTAGAGAATTTGATGCTTAAAATGGGAACTGTTTTCTACCCAGCTAGGTGCTACCACACACGTCTGAACAGATGCAAAACCATTCTTTTGCTGGTAAAAGAAATTTGGAACGGAATATATAGAACAGGAAGCACAATATGGGTCAGGGCAACCTTGCAGAAATATGCCAGTGGAAATGATGCACATCCTGGAACACTGTCTTCAGTAACCAGAAGCTTGCCTTAAAAGAAAGCTTGCCGCAGTTATGGTCCTTTTGTAGATAACCTTATGTTGACAAATTAAAAAAACAAACAAGGTCTAGCCTAGAACTGATCAGAAAAAGTAAAGAGTGTCACAGTGTCAAAGAAAAATTCACAAGCCATTTAAAACAATTTCACACATTTTCCAATTCAATTAATTATTGCATTTAAAGGGGTACCTGATCTTTCCAGCCCTAACATGTAAACTATTTTTTTAATCTGGACAAATTAAGGATCACTGCTCCCTAATCTAACACCATTTTAAATTCTTTAACTACACCATGCCGAGATAGATCTCCCCATCTGACAAAAAACAAACTGAAGGTGTTTGTTGGCCACACGCTTGAATTCAGCAAGGCCCAAAACAACTTTTTAGTAAGGGCCTGGTGGAAATGAGTCTCTTAATACAGCTCTGATGAGCAACTAAAAACAGCTCAAATCTTGCTTGACAGCTCGCTCTTTCTAGCAGCAAGTAATGAAGTGAAAAATATTTAAAGCCTCATGCAAAAAGCTTAAACTGGGTGGCTGAACAGCAGGGGAAATCATGAATTACTCAGTGGGCAGCCCAGCTCACCACATGTATCATCAAGGACACCTACAGCTGGTGCTGGCTGGAGCCCTTCCAAAATCAGTGCTTGTGCACAGGTACAAGCCTGTAAAAGCCCTGTGTGTAACTGATGGAGGATCAATCGAAAGAGTAGAAACGGTAGCATTTAGTCTTGCATTCAAACCTGAACGCCATCGATATCAGGAACGACATCCCCTTCAAGAAGGACTATGACACGACTAAAGATGGAGAAATGTGCCAAACGGATCTCTGGCACACACAGAGCCATGGCGACTGTGATTATACATCTGCTGATAAACACCTAGCAGGTAAGAACACGCATCAATAAAAACACTTTCTCCACCTGCACCAGAGAGGCTTTGCAAGTACAGGCACCACAGATGGAAAGGGGACGGGCAAGAGCTGTGTTGTGAGGTGTCTTCTGGGCTGGTGACATACTGGTGATGTGCTCTCAAGGCCTTTACACACCCTTGCAAAGGGTACAATTGTGCAATTTCTGCTGCACAGAACTGTCTGATCACAACGTGCTGATAACTGGGGGGGGGAAAGGGAGCGGAGACAAGACTGAACATGATTAAGTTCACAGGGAAACACAAAAGGCTGTATATCAAAAGGCCAGCAAAAGAGCACAAGAAATTAGCTTATTTAGCCTTCTGTCTATGAAAGCTTGTAACGTTGCTAATAATGGAACCCATTCAGACCCATTCTAATGTAATTGCTGAAAAACTCCACTGAACAGAACTTGGAATTGACACTTCTGCTCCAGGGCACTGTGGTCAATGGCAAAGGTCTATACTTGAGTGGTTTTGTATGCAGCTTTAAACTGGTCATATGGCGTCCTGGTCTGCAGAGCTGCTCAGAACAGACAGACTTCAGCAGAGGAAATGCGTAGCTCTGAGGAAGACTCCCCCTCCACTACCAATTGCAGTTGGTCTGTGACTCAGGTAAAAGGGGCCCAGGTATAGCAATGAACGCAATGAATCGGACAAGTGGTCTCCAATTGTAACCGTAGTTTCACCTCCAGAATCATGCTAGTAGCAGCTGTCAGACCCCAGCGTCACAGAGTTCCACAGAAAAGGGCTCCTCCTCACGTTATGGCCAGTTTGTTTTTTCTGCAAAATGGGTTCTTCAATTTTAAACTGCGCAAGAACACAATCCTGATTTGTTCTTCGTTGTTTGTTATTTCTAAGAAGAGGATTTGGGGGAAAAAATTATTTGCTCCATGCCAGTTACTGCGAGACTGTCAGGTTCTGAACTGCAGTATCAGCGGCATTTTCACAAGTTAGTGCCTCAGAAAAATTTAGGGCAGATCTCGGGCAAAACTGCAGAAAAATCTCTTGGCTGTTACGTGATTAAGAATGGGGTCAACAGAAAATAATTTACTTCCAAACTCCCAATTTCTCAGACCGGTTATTAAATAGCAGCAACAAAATAAATTGATGGTAATCACAAAATATCCACCTGCATACAATAAGTGAGGAACTGAACTCGATGACATCGATCACGTTCTGTATAGCGGCTGTCGAGGGCTTCCTCAGGCACGTTCACGCAGCGCCAACTTGACCCACACTCCTTCGTTAATATGAACAGGGCTGGAGATGACCGCTAATGTACGCCAGACCAGCTCCGGGTGTGTGGAATAATGGATCATTATGCCATCACGTCACTGCAGCAGCTGCAGCTCTGGAGTCCAGGTGGGGATGCCCTGGGAATATTCTCCGCCTGCTCTGTGGGCTGTGTGAGTGACCTCTGCCATCCTGAGTTCCTTGCATACTACTGTAAATGCTACCCGCCCCCCGCCGCAGTGTTACACATTAAAAAAACACCAGAGGTGTCGCATATGGCAAGAGAAAATATTAACAGTCTGTGACTAGGGAATGAATTTCTTGCAGTCGGGCGTCTCCTCTCCTCACGCGAGGGGCAGGGGTCACGCCGTGGCTCACAGGGAAGAGTCGCTCTGGGGACCGCGGCAGGGAGCACGTGGGGGTGTCCCAAGACAAGCCGCGCCTGTCCCCGAAAGGGGGGGTGACCCCTTGTGTTGATAGGGCGGTACCCCTCAAGAGCAGTGTAGGACAAGAGCACATGTTGTCAAGCGTGCGACCCCAGGCAGTCAAGAGTCAGAGCAGTACGAGATCCTCAGATGACCTCCGCTGAACACGGTCCTAGAAAGCAGTACTTCCACTGAAAAACGCTCAACGATTCTTTAAACAGCAAGGGCCAGGAACTGCTAGACATGTCAATAACTTTATCTTCAGCGCAGACTATCCTGTTAAAAGCAGGACTAGAAAATCACCTTCCAATGCTGCCATCTAAGGATGTCAGCAAAGTACAAAACGTGATTCAGCACGGGGCCGGGGGAGATCACATTTCAAGAGCTCACTCTTACCTCGGTGACATCCATAACCTTGATGGCTGCCAGCTGGCCGGTTTTGACATGTCGTCCCTGCAGAGGAGAGAGGAAAATGTTACTCGAAATGTATTACAGAAACACACATGCTACAGAATTGAGACAAACCCCGAACGGCAAACAGCTAGTGCCAAGCAGCCCGCTGTCGATGGAAGGAAGACTGCACAAAGTACTGGATCGCTACAGGAGACAAGGTGAAGGTTATGGCAACACAGTACCAGTGTGCTCAACTCTTTTCAATTCAACTTTATTGTCATTAAACTTGCACAGGGTCATAGTATAATGAAAAGTGTTTCTCATTAGTCACTCAGGTGCATTATATAAATAGGACAGGAGATAAGACAATAGACAGTAACATTTTCTTCAATGTTATTGTATTTTGTTGGATTAGAAATGTGTTTTGGCCGTGGCTCCTCTGTCAGGAATGGCACACGCAGCATGCTCGCCCTTGACTCACGGTGAAAGGGTCTTGAAAAGTCACAAGCATGGCATCTGCACAGAGCAGAAGAGGGCGAGAGACTGCTGTACCGTGCAGCAGGCCTCAGCCCGCTCGAACACACTCTACATACTCCAGATACACCCACAGAGGTCTCCTCAGCCTTTCCGCACAGTTCCGCACTCACAGACGGGTTACACCGATTGCATTACAGGGATCTATTTATAAACTTAAATGAGCTACACAGGCAGCAACAATGCTAGATCACGCTCATCTTCAGCTGATTCAGGCAGGCACAAGTGAGCAGTTGCCTCTCTTTAACACAGTCGCCATACAGTGCAGGTTTGTCCAAGACTGGACCCAGAGATGAGCTGGAAGGAGGGTAGGAATATAAGAAAAACTAAGGCAACATTCATTCTGCTCAATTCATTAGCCCTTACTGTGTTATCTGCTTTCGCCTCAGCTACCCCACTGGAGAGAGGTGCAATGTATTCATCCAGACTTAAAGCTGTGTGCAGGCAGCTTTCAAGTTTCAACACTGGATGGTCCATAACCATTCCATGCAGAGTATTTGAAAGTTTATTGCTTCCTTCATATTATTATAATAATAATAAATGCTAACGCTTATATAGCGCTTTTCTGGACACTCCACTCAAAGAGCTTTATAGGTAATGGGGATCCCCTCCACCACCACCATATTAAATAATTTATTACTTTATTAAAAGCAGGACATGAGGAAGCCAAAGCATACCAAGATCCACACAAGCAGAGCAGTATTGAAACCAGATTCACTACAGCCCTTTAGACAGCAGTGACAGCTACAGAAGAGGAACGCAATACACCAAACACACATTCCCCACATTTCCTTTTTCATCTGTCCCTGTCCTCTATTCTTTTCACTGTTCTAGGGAAAGACTACCGCCCTTCAACTCCTACAAAACACCCTCTCATCTACAGGACAGATGAGATGGTAACAAGCAATCACTTTTATACCTTACAAATTTGGACTCATAAGATGGAAAACCAACTCCGGCCAGCTGCCTGAACAATGAGTCCTTCCAATCTACCCATGTCAGATGGCCATCTCATGGCACTACAAACAGTCCTTTTCCAACACAGAAGTTACTTTCAAAAAATGAGAAATTAATATTTATGGAAATAAGCACTATTTGCTTAAAAAGGACAGAACCGTTCCAGCATAACCACTGTTTCATACGGTAGAGCTGTACTGTGGTACTTCCAAAGGCTGCTTTGTGCGACCAATCTCATTACAATAGTGTATTCAGTATTGTGATTGTCCTGTTGCGATTTAAAATACCAGCTTTCCATAAGTGAAGTTTCAAGCCAGAGGGCTTTAAATCTGCTCGAGTCATTTGTTTGTAAAGATGCCAAAAGGCTGTAGCCTTGGAAAAGAGCACACATACACTGCAATTTCCTCAGTTACCCTGCAATCTTCTAAACAGCTAGAATAATTCAGGAGGAGAGATATGCTAGGCATTTGGTGCCTCCTACAGCAATCATGATGTCATTCTGGAAATCTTACTCTTAACAGGATAGCTTATGAAAGCTTTATGAAAAGAACTTAGAGAACACCACTAGAAATAACTGCATTAAAATAACAGGAAACATACTTTTTTTTTTTAAAAAGAGAACAGTTCAGTTCCAATGGTTAAAAACTATTAGCACATCCTCTAAAACACAATGAGCAGGGAACACTGCCACTGTCCTAGAACGATAGCAGATACAACCGTTGATATTTCCTCAAAAATAAAGAGGAACAATCTGCCCACAAGCAATTAAGTGAGGAACTCTAGGTGAGAATATGCTTCGAGTTTCTCTAATAAACATGCCAACCAGGCCTGTCCAGCATTTTATGAAGGACCCTAAGCATGCTGGAATGTCATCTGCTTAAGGCAGGAGGAGACACTTGTGAGGAAGCCCTTGCTTTCAATACACTTGGTGTCACTAATTTACAGAGATTTTTTCTTTTGTTGTCCATTACCTTTAGTTTAAAACATGAATGTTATGTGCTAAAGAGAACTCAAACCATTTTATCAGGCAGTGGGCTGTGAATTTGCTTTAAGGCAACTAGCAGTACAGAGAGCAAGCACAGCACATTAAGGTTTAATGGTTGACATTTCCCATTCTAGTGGAACCAAAGGTCAGCTGGTAACAGTAAAGGGGAAACCAGCTTGGCGACTAACCCTCTTGTGAATTGTGCTTCGTTCTATTTGAATCTGAACCTGTCCGAGAGGGATGCAACACCAGGCCCACAGCACAGACAGGCCCCAAAGACGTGCGCATCAACCACTTTATCACATGGGAGTTTGCCATTTCCTTGACCCTGGGACATACATGTTCCTTAACAACAGTGCGCATGTTCAAAGGTTAAAGCAATTTGTATCATCTTTGTGCTGGAGACATTGCAGAGCAGCAAATATACAAAAAAGACCCAGAAGTAATTACAATACTACAGCAATTTCTGATCACTTTTCATCAAAAATATATATATATTACTCAAATTAATAATCACAGCTGAGACGTGGAGCATTTTATTAGTTTTCTGCAATGAAACTGTCTCTCTGGTGGAGCACTCCAGTGTCAATAATTGATGATGGACCAAACCATGTGAAGATGCGCATGGCTTCTGGGGATTCGTGTTCGTAACACTCGCAATGAACACTTAAAGTCAACCGTAATTCACACTAAAGCACTTCCGCAGACCACTGGAACCTGCCTAGACATATGGTTTGTTGTGAGAGCAGCCACAGTGGCTCAGAAAAGGTCTTCGCAGCTTTAGAGATCAGTTGTATAAGCCATATGTCACGTTAAAGTGGGTATCTATTACAGCGTACCAGGAACCAGAAGGCTTCATCGCAGACAACTTTAACCTTTTACCTTCACCCAGGGCTGCTCAGCACTACAGAGATTTAAAAATGGCATTTAATTGTCTCCTCAGTTAACTGCTCGGCGAGTCCAAAAGTACCATGGAATCAGATTATTGAACTCTACCTCTCACCACTGACTCCCACTGCTGCTCCTTTTGCACACCACTTGCGCCGAGTTTTGAGCGTTATTTAACTTTGCCGTCGTCGTGTGCTTAAGTGGGTGTTTCCTTAATGTCTTTGTATTGGAGCATACGTGCAAATAAGCAGCTCGCTCAACCTGTGCATATGACCAGCTGAACTCCGAACTCTTAACTCGTCTTGTTGCAACACCAATTCTGCTTGCAGTGAATGAGGCAAACCGGACCCACCACAGCCCTGCGCACACGTGTGGAACCCAACCGGCTGAAAGAGAAGGCAAAACACGCCAAACTACGACAGAGCATCGCTATTCCGCTCCTCTCACTTGCTTTGCCTGACCCCAAAAGATCAGGCCACTACAAAACCAAAAAACGCAAACCGATCTAATAATAGTTTTCGAACATTTATAAATGTATCACCAAACTGCAATCAGAACTGAAACTTGGTACGTTTCACTCTCCCCACCCAAGAAACAGGCAGGGAATTCAGTTCTCCAGAGTCTCGCTCAGAATCTGCTGCCCTTATCAGAGGCGTGGTTGTTAGGTTCCCAACAGAGGAGCAGCTTGATCCAGCATCTCCTATCACTTCGGTGCACATACTGTACATAAACCTGCTATGGCATTCAGAAATGCACAAGAACAGGCTGGACATGTAGGCATCTTGAGACCCAGGCCATCCGACAATTCTCAGCACGCTGCACTTGCTGGAGCTCCAAAAAGGTAACTGTGCTTTACTCCAGCAGCAATAGAATTCAAGGGGAACTGCGGTCCCAATTTCCCAGACTGGTTATTACAAGTCGGGCGAAAAATAAATTCATTTAGAGAAAAATGTAACAAATTTCGAATTAAGCATAAAACTAGCCCACGAGATCATTTAATGACTGATGGGACGTGATGTACAGTATGAGCGAAGAAGTACCGGTTGTTCAGCAGACATTTCACACAGAGAAATGTACAAAATCTGTCTCAAAATCAAGAGCAATATTTCTATTGGATTAAGAGAGATGTATTCACATCCCTGCCTGTTTACAGTGTAATAATTTGGGGTGGAGTGGTGGCACTGTGGCTCAGGATCTGCACCTGTGACTGGAAGGTTGCCGGTTCGTATCCCGCGGCCGGCAGAGGAATCCTACTCCGCTGGGCCCCTGAGTGAGGCCCTTAAGCCCAGCTGCTCCAGGGGTGCTGTATAAATGGCTGACCCTGCGCTCTGACCCCCAGCTTCTCTCTCCCCGTCTGTGCCTCTCATGGAGAGCAAGCTGAGGTCTGCGAAAAGACAAATTCCTAATGCAAGAAACTGTATATGGCCAATAAAGCGATCTTATTTTATAAGCCTGCTTCACGACACCAGAAGTTTTGTTTCCTCTTTCTGAATCACAGAACATGGCGCTGCTCATACCTGGAAATTGTGTCCATTTTGTGATGTAAATTGGAGGTTTTGCACGGTACGTGTATATTTTCTTTTATAGTGCTCAGAAAGAAACTGCACTGATGAGTGCATTTCAAACCCCAGAAAGTAAAAATAGCACTGCAGTTCCCCATTAAGGGCAGGGACTGCGCTAGTAACAAGCTGTGAGC